GGGGGGCGCGGCGGGGGCGGTCGTGCTATTCTGGGTTAGAAGCTTCCTTGGTAAGTGCAGCTGCTGAAGCCAAAGCAAAGCATATAACGAAATGAGCCAAGAACTGGACTTAGAAAATCAAAAGGAAAGAGCATGCTCGGCATTTCTCAGAATAAAAGAACTGAAAAACAAACTCAAACTTTGAGTCGCAATACTGAGGAATTCTATGGACAAAATCTTAACGCAAGGAGCATCGAAGGAAGATAAAAGGAATACATAGTCACTGTACCAAAAAGTGGTGGACAAACAAACATTTTGAGAAGTAGAATATGTTCAAGAACCAATAGTAATGAAATAAGAAATTCAAGATGCACTGAAGGTGTTGGCCAAAAAATAAGGTCCCAGGAATTGATGGGATTATCAATGAAGTGTTTCAACAAACAGATATAGCCCTAGACTTAACAGCCTGTGCCAAGAAACTTGGAAAACAAATTTATATCTAGCCAAACTGACTGGAAGAGATGCACATATAATCTCGTTACCAAAAAAAAATTAAAAAGGTGATCCAACAGAGCAGAAATTATCAAAAAATAGTCTCACATTCTTTGGGCATGTTGCCAGGACGGTCTAGTCCTTGGAGAAGGATATCATGCTTGGAAGGGTGCAGAGACAGGTAGGTCTGTTGAAGACAGTAAGACTGGCTCAGGACAGAACAGGGTTCAGAACTGTTGTATATGGGTTTTACACTGTGACTCACAGATGACTTGACAGCACATAACAACAACGACAATAGTTAATATATAACAGGCAAGTAGTATTTCCTGAAAGTTACTGTAAGATGTTATTATTAAAATTACTGTAAAATAGTACATTGACAAAACTGCCATATATTTAAGATGGATTCAGAAGGGGCAGTGCATGGTGGTACCAGGAATCTTGCTGATGGCAGATGGATCTTGGCTGAAAGTAGAGAATGAACATCAGAAGTATGTTTACCTGTGTTTTATTGACTATGTAAAGGTGTTTAATTGTGTGGATCATAGTAAATTACAGCTAATATTGAGAAGAATGGAAATCCCAGGACACTTAATTGTGCTCATACAAGACCTATGTGTACACCAAGAAGCAGTTGTCCAAGCAGAACAAGAGAACAGTGCATGCTTTAAAAATCAAGAAAGGTGTGCATCAGGGTTTAATTTTTCATACCTATTTAATCTGTATGTTGAGCAAATAATTTGAGACAATGAACTGTATAAAGAAGAATGTGATATCAAAATTAGAGGAAAACTCATTAACAATCTACGTTATGCAAATGACACAGCCTTGCTTGCAGAATGTGAAGACTAGAGACATTTACAGAGGAAGATCAGAGACTACAGCCTTCAATATGGATTACATCTCAACATCAGTTGTTGCAGACCGAGGGTAAAGTATTTTTATAATTATTAATAATGAGACAGACTACCAGGAATGATATAGAACAGAGAGCATGAAAAACGGGGCCAGCAGTTCTCCTGACTGAAGGCCTCAAGCCATACCTCTCTGGGTATTTATTGAGAATCATAAGGAAGGTAAACAAAGGAAAATCATAAGGAGGTATAAAACAAAAACAAGGGATCATGGTGAAGTCTTTTGCAGATAAGGCCAAGTTCCTCTCTATTTTTACTTTATACTTATCTCAGGGAGGGATTCAGTAAATACAAAGAACAATGATGACTCTTAGGGAATGCCTTAGTGCCACAGGGTGAATTCTTGCTTGTATTAAGCCTCCCTTATATCCTGATACAGCATTTGGTTTATTATTAATATTAAATTTGATGTTAAGCTTCCCAAAATCAATAAAGCAAAATGGATCAAATTGGAATACTGGATAAACAGGTAATATAATAAAAGATGGAGAAAAGATTGAAACTGTCAACAACTTCACTTTACTTAGATGCAGCATTAACTACTATGACAATATCAGCCAAGAGATCAAAAGACTCGTTACAGGGCACTTAGCTGAACTTACCTGTTGACCCTGGTCAAATATGACTTGAAAGGTCACTGGCCTTTCCATATAAAACGAGCAAACAAAAGACATGTTACATTGAGAAAATCTGCTGTCAAAGCCCTCTCCAGAATGCTAAGGAGCCAACATATCAGTTTAAAAATTTAGTCAGGGGGTCTTTCCAAATTATTGAGGAATAATGATGTTAATTTGAGTACTAAGGTACTCCTTTCTTTGGAAAGGGAACAAATGTCACTTGGCCAGCTGGCTGTCCTCCAGATTACCTGGCACAACCTAGTGAGCACATCCAGGGCACCATCTGTTTGTTGAAATAAATAAATTGGTATGCAGTCAACTCCTGGAGCCTTGTTTTTTGCCAATTCCTTCATAGCAACTTGAACTTCTTCCTTCATCACCATAGGTTCTTGCTTATATGTTATTTCATGAAATTCCTCTGTGTTAGCCAATTCCTTCTGATGCAGTGACTCTGTGTACTCCTTCCATCTTCTTTTTATACATCCTG